AAAAAAAAAAAAAAAAAAAAAACACGAATTTCCACAACTCCAACTTTAAATTGTTTCATTAACTTAATTAAGCACGCTGCTTCGCAACTTTTTGACAACTCTGTAACAATCAGAAATACGAGCAAGATACTGGACACATTGAAACGAAATTAGAAAAGCCGTCTATTTGTTTTTAGATAATTGAAATTAGTTAAATAAAATAATCCTGATGATACAAAACCATGACTGATTATTATATAGTATCTACCATATAATCCAATCTTTGTCATTAATAGTATTCCTATTGTTATAATTCCTGTATGTACAATTGATGAAATTGTAATAATTAACTTAATATCTATTTGTGATGTACATATAATACTTAATATTACTATACCAAATATGTTAATTACTATAAAGTAAACATAATATTTCTTGAATATTTAGTTTTATAGTTTTTATAATATATATGATATATTATATATTTAGCATTAATAATCTAATATATATAATAAATATAATAATATTTATTATATTATAATAATATAAAATAAATATAATATAATATATTATATATTTAGTATTATAGTTTTTATAATATACATAATTGTGAACTGTATATATAGGAATTTTAACTATAAAAGATATAATGAAATATAAAAATTTAAAATCATTAATGTAAATGATATTTAATATTTCAAGAATGTAAAAATTTATTGTATTAAATAATATTAAAATATTAAACAACAAATATAACATAGGAAGGGAAAATACTAGAGTATAAAACATTAAATAGAATGAAGAATTAAAATTCACCATATCCTCATTTTATAATTATATAAAAGATAATTAACAGACTGGATTCAAATATAAAATAGAAAATAAATAAATTTATTGATGCAAATACTAAGTATATTGATGATATCAGTATTATATTTATTAGAATGCAGTATTTTTCGTAATCTATTATTTCATAATTTATAGTAATGATCAAGAAAATTCAAAGTATTATAAAGATTAAGCCATTTGAGTAAAAGTTAGTTCCGAAAATTTATAAATACAAACCTTCAGTTTAATCAGTTAAAATTGAATAGGAAAGTAACTATTATAAAAGAAATTGTATATAACTGTGTCAAATATAACTGTTATTGTAATTATATATAAAAGGTAATTATATATATTGTAATTATATATAAAAGGTAAATTATATATAAAAGGTTATATATTCAGTCATTTCTAGAATTAAAATATTATTTTTTAGATAGCCAAGTTCATGAACATCTTTTCGTGTCCAAATTCATTATCTATTCTAATCATTAGTAATAATCCAAGAACTCCCTCACATACAGAGTATATTAAGAAAATAAAAAAAGTTCATACTTAAGCGTATCACGTCCATTGTATAAAGTACAGTATTTTTAATTATTATCTATTTGGTAATACTTAATTAATTTTAATTATTATCTATTTGGTAAGTACAGTATTTTTAATTATTATCTATTATCTAAAGTACAGTATTTTTAATTATTATCTAATTGGATATTGTTTAAATACAACACAATATTATCAAAACACGTTCTAACGAGGGGCAGTAAACCACGCCGGAGGAATTTTCACCCCCGGGGTCGTAATTATTTCCGTTGTTCGAATTCTTAGTCCGATTGTCCATCCGAAACACGTCGAGTGATGCCGAGACGCATATATCTTTCGCCGGAGTAGAATTGAAATCAACCGTGAGAGCATCGAATTTACGCCGGTGATAAAGACGAGATACATATGTACTTACATAGCTTGGCGCCTCGTGCGGCCACTTGCACGCGAGAACGAAGCACGTATACCACATACACATACAACCAAGTCCCATGAAACATTCCTTAAGAGCGAGTCGTGCGAATTGTTTAACCCCTTTGAAGATGCGAAATTATGTACATTGCCGTCCATAAGTATTCACATTGTGACAACAGCATGTGAATTTTACTGAAGTGTACGAATTACTAGTAACTATGATTTTTATGGAGTTTATTTAATAATTCTATCCACTTTGAATATCTCTTATTTATTTTTGAAGAGACACATATGTTATATTCCATATATTTTTCTTTCCTAAGATGAATATTAACGTATTAACGTATATATCATGTCGAAAAATTATTAGCTTAGGAAATACTTTATTTTGTAAAATTTATCGTACGAAAGATAAGGAAAGATAAGAACAGTATTCTCATCTTCCTACTGTTCTCGTCTTTCATGCGTAAATTTTATAAAATTAAAGTTACAATGTCTCTTAAATTAGTAATCTTTCCACATACATAGATCAATACTTTTCCTTTACAGAAAAAAAGTCTGCGATTAATGAATCAAATTATATCATTCTATTTAGAAAAATAGATGGATGTGGTCTTGAAATCCCTCTATATACCAAAGAACCATTATGGTTCACTTTATACTGAGTAACTTGCGTCAAAGTTTTTTCATATCTCTGAAAATAACAGAGAGACACTCAAGATGTTGAAGACACAATGCTATTGAAACACCTTATGTACAGTAACGATAAAACAATATATAATACATAACAAGCACTTGTTGCATTAACATATGAAATCTTTCCATCACGTTAAAAGACCCTTTTTATTTTAACTTCTGACTGAGAAATTGAAAGATACTGATCTAAAGATACAGAATTCATCAAACTAACTTTACAATATTCACAATGTTCTATTGTACAATACGCTGTAGTGTTATGATAGTTATAAAAAATAAAGATTTCGAAACTTGTTCCGAATTTTGGAAATACGACGTATATAATCAGAAACACTTTTGCGCGTACATTATGTGAACGTACATGATGAAATTACTCGGACGTTAACCTCCGACAATACATCACTATAGAATTATCGAAGTGGCAAGTTATGTTCTAGTTATGTTCTATATACATAATTACCAAATTATTCTGACCAAGAGATTGGTAATTCGGCTGAGAAGTTAACTGATCTTCCTCGATTGACAGGTTAATTTGCTTGCTCTGCTTCTGGACCATTGTAATATGGACGTGAATAATTCACGTAAGAAGGATTAACCGTACGGGATTAACTGTATTAACTAGTCGTGCATATTCTCAATAAACACTATATCAGCTTACTCCGAATATATCCATCAGAGGAAAATTTCGATCTTAACTTTTTCGATGAAAAACACTGTTCCCGTGTTCTGCAAATCGTTATCGAAAAATTTTCTACAAATAACAGATTCTTAGTATGAGATCGGAGATATAATTGCTAACTCTAAGAGATTGCTAACTGCAAACACAGTTTGATTATAGATCACGAAGCAATAAGAGTCTGATTATCGGAATCGTTGTGTATCTGCAAGATTGAGACGAAAGTTCGAAGAAGAAAGTCGAAAGAAGTACAAAGATTAAAGTCAATCTGTAGTTGATCGTGCTCTATGGTTCGTAATGTCTTATGATTTTCAAATCGCTTTAATCTCTGGCTGGTATCATTAGACACTGAGCGTCATCCTAGAAATTTAGATTTCAAATTGTTTGGAAGTTTTGAATTGATATAATTTTATTAGCCATCATTATTGAAGAGAATATGAAATACAAAATAAAATTAAATACTTCGAATTTTTGTAATACAAGACAAACTACTTGAGGATTAACACTGTAACGAACTGTTTTCATTTAATACTTTTTTTCCACTGAAAATTTACAAAATTTATAAAGAAATCATTTATAAAGAAATGAATACAAATTCGTAAAAAGTAAGAAGATAGACAAATAAACCTGAGAATTACATGATGCTAAGAAAGGTCAATGAATTTTACTATTTGTAATATTTGAACGTGTTGTTCGACATTCGTATTTTGCAATAACAATTCAAAATCATCCTTCTGTTGATGATATATATAATTATTATATTGATTTTATATATACTTTTATTAGGATTATCTCATTTGTTATTTAAAAATGATTTTCATGCCATCTAAAGTAGGTAATTCAACATTGATTTGTCGTTCGATGGAAATCTGAAACCAAAACCAGCGCGAAATTATGCTTCAAAGTGAAGGTCTCTTTGCACCTTCACGCATCTATGTTAACTTGCTCGACAAAAATTGACCTACTGCAGAATTGCTATAATTTGCGACCACCAACATTTAATCACTGGAAATGTATTTCTGTGCAAACATGCGAAAACATCGTCGCGAACGAGTTCACAGCCAGGCACACACAAGTAGAATGTCTTCGTTTATAATCAGACACTCGCAAATAGAATGTCTTCGTTTATAGTCAGACGCTTGCAAGTAGAGCGAGTCCGTATACGGTGATACTTGCAAGTAGAGCGAGTCAATTTATAGTCAGACGCTCGCAAGTAAAACGGGTCCGCGGTCAGACACTCGCAAGTAGAATGAGTAGTATTTCGGCTGGAAATCGTCGAACACAGTGACTTTGTACGTTCGTAGCGAAAAAATCGAGATCTCGCGATATCTCGGCACGAATTCGTCCCTCTGTAAATAAAACGCTTCAGAATTTAATAAAATGCTAAATGCGTAGTAACATCACGTAATAAACGAGCATTTTATGTAACAAAATAAATAATTTCCTCGTGAACAGAATAATCCATCACGCTCAGTTATTCTAACTAATATCACTACAATATTGTTATAATAATTAACGTGTATATTTCGATCTACTAATGTTAATCAAGTCACATAGCGATTAAGTTTCATTTCCTGTAAAGGGGCGGCTCGAATTTAATTTTAGACCGTTATTCGGCTTGATGCACAATTTGCCAATTTATGGTAAAACAATCTACGGAGAATGGAGGATGGTCAACTTCGCTCGACTATTAATTCCGAATTATAAATCGACGGTGGATGCTGTTTTACGGTTCATTTAGTCGTTAAACGAGGGAAATTTTACGCGTATTGTATAATCCGCCGTCTTGTACATAACAATTTAATGTATAAATTTACGTATAAATCCTACTTAGTGGGCGCTGATGGATCTACGCATTAAATCTACGAGTTCGCGCGGAATCTATTTTTAATAGATTCCGCGTTTAATCCGTATTTACGGATGTATCAACAATAAACTGCAGAAGTTACAGAAACGAAATTTACGCGACCGGCACGTGCATTTCAGACACGTACGTGATTAATAACTACGATATTACCTGTAAATATCAGTTCAACCGACGAGATAGAGGCTAATGCACAGTGTATTACCGAAACAAAACGCGCGTCTTTCAGAATATATTTCCTTTCACGTCAAACGTCAAATGCAATTGCAAAGGAACAAGTACCTACCGCGAGCACTTGAGAATATTACTTCGAATGGTAGAGACTATTGTTCTATTCAGCACTCAATTTATACCCGACACTGCACACAGAGAATTACGAATTCATCGTTACTTTTTGGAATCGAATTATTCAGCGAGAATAACCGTAAGTTTCTTAATATATTAAGTTACAATTGGTTAATAATAAGTTTCTCACGAATTACATTGTTTCGGATGGAGAAAGCAATGCATTGGGAAATAAGTATCTACACGAGTGTTGTTAACACGCTACTTCTATATTTCCATAAATATTTTCTATTCTACTGCGCGAACTGTATTTCAGTTTCATAGTTTCATCATGCGAGAGATACCCGATGACTGATGCTTGTTTGAGATCGCAGTACGTTTTATGATTCCCTGCGTTTCAATTAATTCGCATAATTAAATTCATTAATAGTTTGACGTATTTTCAAATATTGAAT